CCCATCCCATCCCATCCCATCCCATCCCATCCCATCCCATCCCATCCCATCCCATCCCATCCCATCCCATCCCATCCCATCCCCTCTGCTGTGGAAGCTGCCCGAGGGTCACCTGGAAATGTTGCCATCCCCATCCCATGGTTGGTGGTTAGGTGCCAAGTGCTGTAGGTGAGAGGGGCAGGGGATGCTTTCAAGCATAAGGTGGTGTTGAGGTGTTGAGTTAATGGGGTTATCCTGGGGTCCCAAACATAATGTGTGGGGTTGGGGTGCCAAGGTGATGGGTGTGGGGAGAGTCCCAGGTGTATCAAGGTGCCAGAATTATGGGAGAAGGTGGGTTCCAAATGTCATGGGTAGTGGTGGGGTCCTGAGCATGATAGGTGGTGTTGGATTCCAAGAGTGATGCTCGGTGTTGGGGTCCCAGATGAGATGCTGGGAGGGGTTGGGATCCCAAGTGCTATGGGTGGCGTTGGCGTGTTAAGCCTTATGGGGGGCTCAGGGGTGTTGAGGCGCATTTCTGAGCGTGTCCCCCGCTCCCAGGACCCTCTGGAACGGGAGCGGGCGCTGCAGCTGCAGATTGCCGAGGCCGCCCGCCGGCTCTGCTGCGAGGAGAACATTGGCCGGCAGGTGCGGAAGAGGCGGCAGACGGCAGCACTCCGGGAGGAGCAGAAACTGCGGGATCTGGAGCAGGTTCTGAGCCAGCGGCGGCTCCTGGCAGGGCAACGGGACATCAGTCCTGCCAAGGGTGAGCCCTCCGAGCCCCATGGCGGGGGGGGATGCTGGAGAGCAGAATGGGGTGCTGCTTGGTTGGGTGTCCCTGGGGAATGCATCTAAAATACCCATTCCCTGTGAATGCACCCCACTGGATGCTGGGATCCTTCATCCCAAGTGCATGCACTCCTCTGGATGCATGCCCCTCTGCCATTCTCCTGTGTGTCCCTTCCCAATATGCCATCCACAATGCATATCCCAGTTCCCTGGTGAATGCACTTCCCTGGATGCACTCCAACTTTCCATCCCCTGTGAATACAACCTGGTTCTGCATTGCCAGTGAATGCATGCCCCTAACACCCCCTGGTAAATGCACCCCAATTTCCCATCCCTGCTGAATATACCCCTTGGATGCCCCCTGGAAGGCCATCCCTGGTACATGCACCTTGCTACACTCTCACTGTCAATGCACCCTTTTGAAGGTACCCCAATACTTCATCTCTGGTGATTGTACCCTTGTGAGTGCACCCCAAAAAGAAGTCCCCAGTGCATGCACCCCAATAACTATTCCTGGCATATGTACCCCCTGAATGCACCCCAAAAGCCCATCCATAGTGCATACACCTTTATAAACCATCCCCAGCAGTACCCCACTGAATCCAACCCAGTACTTCACCTCCGTTGATTGCACCCTTCTGAAAGTACCCTAAGAGCTCACCCCTGCCGCTTGCACCTCATAACTATCCCCAGTCACCCATCCTCAGCACCTGCACCCAAAGGGGGGCAGGATGTGGCCCAGCTGCCATGGCCCCATCCCAGTGGCGGCCATCCAAGGGGGTCCCTGTTCTCTCCATGCCTGTCCCCTCCAAGGACCAGGGCCATGGTGGTGGCGTCTCCTTCCCTGTCGGTGCCCCCAGCCTGCCCATCCCANGGAGCGGGCTGGGGAAACTGAAGCATAGCCGGGCGACGGCGCTGGAAAAGCGGTGTGAACCCCCTCCCCTCCGTCCCACTGCCCTCCTTTCACTCCTTCCCCAAGAGTTTGGGAATCTTGGGGTGCTGGGGACCCCCTTTTCCGAGGCCGGCGGTCGCTCCCACCCCCGGATCCGCCACCAGCCCAGATGGAAAAGAAAGGAAAACTGGGAGAGGTACCCAGCGAAACCAGCTGGGGCGGGAGCGAGGGGCCCCTCGGCCCTCCCTCCCACCGCACCCCGACCACCTTTGACCCCTTCGAGGGTGTCACCCTCCCCCGCCTGGCGCACCGCACCCTTTATTTATGGTAGGACCTACAAGAAGGCAAAGCAAACACAGCCTCGCCTCCCCTCCACCGCCATCGCGGCACGCCCGGGGTGACATGAGGGATGGTAGGGGTGCAGGGTGGGGGCCACCCATGGGTGCAGCCCGGTTCGGGGCGTGGGGACGAGCTGTGTCCCCGCTGTTGCCCGCAGGCTCTCGGCGCGGCATGGGGGAGGCCAGTGACATGGACAGCGGGATCGTGCTGCACTCGGGTGAGAATGGGGTCTGGGGCTGAGGGAGGTTTTGGGGTGCCCCTGTCGCCCAGGAGTGCTCTGATAGACGTGTCCCTCCTTCCCAGGCAGGGAACGGAGCACTTCGGTGCATGGGGACACATTAGGGACACATGAGCTGCCGGAGAGAGCTCTGGGGAAATGAAGGAGTGGAGGAAGGGAGGCTTCCCCTGCGTTTCGGGAGGCATCCCAAGTGTAGAGGGGGGTGCTGTCGACGGGATTTGACTCAGATGGGTTTGGCTTGGATGGCTGAGTCAGACTGAAACCTTCCTCCTGTGCCCCCCCTCCCACCCCCCCAGCAGGGACGTCACACGTGTCCCGGGGGGGCTGAAGCACCCATGGTGCTGCTGGGGGAATTTCCTGGATACCCTGGGGCATTGGAGGACCCATGGGTGCTGCTAGGGGAGGAGTCCCTGGATACCCTGGGGGGTTGGAACACCAATGTGTGCTGCTGGGTGGGGGAAACAGGTGTTTCACGGGAGTCAGTACACCCACGAGTGCTGCTGTGGGGGAAGGGAGGCGCAGCTGCTTTGGGGCAGCTGGAGTGCCCATGGCTGTGCTGGGAGGATCGTGGCTGCTTTTTTCTCCCCCTGCAGTGGAGGAAAACTAAGGTAGGGAGGCTGTTGAGTGGTGGAGGATGGCACCTGGGTGCTCCCATCCCTCCAGATGTCCATGTATCTGTTCCAGGCTCTGAAAGCCCAGTGTCCCCCCCGAAGGAACGGGTGCTGGTGGGGCAGCGGCAGCAGCAGGCACTGGAGGCCCAGCTGGATGGCTGCATCCAGGAGCTGCGACAGCTGTGCCTGCGTGAGGCGGTGAGCAGGGCATGAGGACCCCCTGCCCACCTTCACGTACTGCCATGGCTCTGCTCAGTGTCCCTGTGCCATCCTCAGGAGCTGACGGGGACCCTGCCCTGCGAGTACCCCCTGAAAGCTGGCGAGAAGCCCCCCAAGGTCCGTCGCAGGATCGGGGCTGCCTTCAAGCTGGATGAGATCACCGTTCTGCGTGGGGTGGTGAGACAGTCCCTGGGGTGCAAAGGTGGTGGGGACCCATCCCATCC